GCAGGGCAAGGGCCTAGGAGATGTCAAAGGTTGGGGGGGGGAAATTGATCAAACTCATTTTATAATTAGAAAAAAAGAAATGCATATTGGACTACTTTTGCAAACCCCAAATAAATGTATTTGCTGAAGCAGTCATTTTACAGGTGATTAGATTGCAATCAAACCCCATTTGTTTTATTTAAGAAATTATTTTCCTTTCACAACACTTGTAACTGAGTAACCAATGTGTAGGCCCAAACTATTATTGTCTTCTAACAAGAATTTGAAGCTTCTCTGAGGCCTGGGTAACACCTCCAGAGTATAAACTAAGACAAGTTTACACAAGGAAGCACTTGGTAGAGTCCATCAGATTAAAGTTTTGAGAAAATGAGGTTGTAACAGTTGCATTATTTGGACTAAGTCAGTATTTTAACAAAGCAGATGGACAAACTCTGAAGTTAATGCCAAAGCTCTGATTAACTTAAGTAGAACATGGCTTCTGCCAAATAATGTTGTATAGCAACTCAGAAGCAGTTTACTTTCTCTTTTTGATCCTTAGCATTGAGTGAGGTTTTAGAAAACTAGGGGTCAAAGGCATGTGAAATGCACCTCCACACACTTCAAAAGAGGATGGACCTGGCCTGTTCTCAGTGGTGGCAGGTGACAGAACAAGGAGCAATGGGCTCAAGTTGCAGCCAGGGAAGTTTAGGTTAGATATTAAGAAGAATTTTCTCACTAGGAGGGAAGTAAAACACAATAACAGGTTATCCAGAGAGGTGGTGCAATCTCCATCCTTGGAGGTTTTTAAATCCTGGCTAAACATATCCTTGGGTGAGATGATCTTGTGGGGATGGCCCTGCTTTGAGCAGGGGCTTGGACTAGACCTCCTGAGGTCCCGTCCAACCCTGATTTTCTGTGATTTCTATAACACAACCTAGTCTCACCCCTTCCTTGTTATGCAGTCAGATAAATGAAGTCACAGAGACTCATGGCCTGGAACAGGCCATTATCTTGGGATATCATTATCTTATCAGCTCTCACTCATATGAGAGTCAAGAGTCCTATTGTTTTCCATGAATTTGATGCATGTGCTTGATGTTAAACACATCCTTTAACATTTTGAATATATATTTGAATTATATTTACTAAGTTAATGTAATTGTAGGTGAGTATAACATGGAATGCATATCCCATTAGGTTACATAAAGAAAAGTCATCTGATGTTTAAATGATATAAATTGGCAACAGACCATTCTTGCAAGGCTTTCCAAGCTGGCCTCCTTCCTCTGCTGATATAGAAGAGGCTAGGTCAAAAAAAAACTAATCTGAAAACGAGTTTGCTGGGTACTACTATTCATCCTCTTGATTGCACTGGTTGGATGGGGGAAATGATTGATGGCAGGGACTCAGAACGAGGATGATGATGAATTATGCAGGGAAATGTAGCTGATCATTGAATTAGATTAAAAGTTTTATCTACCATTCATTTATGAGAATGCTAATGGAGATGATCACTCACTTTTTGGTACAATTATTTAAGGCAGTGTCTTGATTAGGTAGTCTGTAGAGATTTGTATTTGTTTGTATTTCTATGGAAGTAGAAAAGACATAAGATAAAAGAAGTCACACTGTTGGATTTATCATGTATAAATAACCAAGACTATCTGGAGTTTTTTTCATCTTTCCCTGTTTGAAAGGTATATTGATAAAGCTCAAATGCTGCTGTCAGGGATTGAAAGAAAAAGTTTCAAGTCTTCGCTCCTTTCTCTCTGTTAAATAGTAAAGCCGCTAAATGAGGTGATAAGATATCTCAGCTTTATCAGCAGAAAGTTAAACTAACTTGCTTTTAAAGCCACGTTGCAAAATCATATAGCTCTTGGCTCTTTATCTGTTATTTGCCTTTGAATTCAGAGCAGCTAGGTACCACTCGTTTCTTTATACTGTCCCTTCTTTGTAATAATACAACCTATACCTGCACCTATACCTAGACTCGTAAAGTCCTTCCACTGCTCCAAAGCACATGGATGTCAACCATTTGACCTAAAGGAAAAACTGTCTTTGTGGTGACCTATAGACATTTGTTCATTTTAAACTGCAAGCAGTGCTATAGAGCAGAGGTTCCCAAACATTTTTTTTATTGTGTACCCCATTCCCGGTTTATCAGCTGCCCGTATACGCCTACCAGCATATGTCTGATATTTTAATGCTTTTAATGCCAATTATTATTATAATGAAAATTAAATCCATCATTACACAATTTCTCCTGTGATAGAGGATTATGGGCACATGCTCTCTTGCTCCATCTTTCCCTCTCATGTGCACACGCATGCATGCACCCCCCCCAACACAATCAGTATCTACGCTGTAGAAATTTTCTACAGTGGAAGCTGCTCTGTATTCAGCCATTTTCAGCCAAAATCAGCTATATCACCTAAGTGCCTTAATATGCAGCAAGAAAGCCGATCCTAAAGATCCTAATTTTAAAAATCAAGCCCAGATGACTCAATCGTAGCTCACCCCATTATGTATTTTTCTCCACAAAATCATCCTTCCAATGTAGTTTTTCCCTGTTTTTTTGGAGGGGTGGACACACACCTGGACATAAACACACATCTTTATAAACATGCTGAGGTGTATGCATCTGAATGAACAAAGAAGACCAAATATGCATCTTCTGTTTTAAGATCAGTGTGTTAAATAGTTTCTACCCCTCCTTGTATATCCTCAGTAAACTTATTTAACCCTTCAAAATATCACTGGGCTTGATGACTTGCATTTTAAACTTGGTGCCACAGACTGAATGATTCCCTCCCTTTCAGACATGCGTTTATCAGGACCATCTCAGAGCCTGGCAGAAGAATTTGCTGAAGCTGCGGGGCAGCTTAAAAAAGAGATCCCCAATGTCAGATTTGGAAAAGTTGATGTCTCAGACCAGAAAGATCTGAAGAAAGAATTCAACATCCAAGAATTTCCAACTGTGAAATTTTTTGTGGATGGCGACAGGAAAAATCCCATTGATTGTAAAGGTAAAGTGTTTTTGGGACTAATAAAGGAGCCTGATATCTGTTATATGATGGGTGGTAAAGAACCACTGGATGTCTGAGTGGACAGAATAATAAAGAACATATGAGAGATTACATGGATTCTGTCTTTAACATTATATGTATACCTATATCTGCATATCAGTATTTCTACACATAGGAATTTAATGCAAAATAAATTGGATTTGAGCTCACCTCACTCTTTCCTGCCAAATGCTCCTCTCTGATTCATAATTTACATAGTGAACTAAGTTCTCTGATGATATAACTTTAAATCCAGTGAGAATCTATGCCTTCTACAATTAACTTGAGTACAGAGTTAGCCAGCAGAGAATTTGACTCAGATTACGCTTTTAATTTGAGTAATTAGTAATTAATCTGAGCCTGTGTAATACCTCTAAAAAGTCTACAACAAATTCCACACACTGTGTGAGTACATCTTATGGAGTAAAGATTATACAATATGGTTTGGAGGGGATTATTGTATTGATTTTAAATCTTTAATCTGTTAGTTTAAATCCTTAATCTGTTAGTTTAAATCCTTAATCTGTTAGGTTGTATATATACAATGCATGAAAGAAGAAAAGTTGCAACTGGCACATTAGCCACTAGAGGGAGCTCTCATCTGGCCCAGAAATTCAATGGAATAATTTTAAAGTATATTAATCTATTAAATAAAGACTACAGTGTTTGGTCTGCGTCCCTCTGCATTCAGTATAAGACCGAGCTGCACAATCCTAAAACTCCAGACTTAAAGAGTTTTTGCTTCACTACCAATATGTGCAAGTAATAATCTTTGTCTAAAAAGATGTTCTCCTGAAGATGAGGTGAGTGGCCTGGGCAAGTGTGTGTTCTTGCAGTTGGAAAGAAACAGATTGGCCAAGTGCTTTTACAAATGGGAGCCTAAAAGTTCAGCTCCCAAGGCCAGAGGCACACAAACAGTCTAATTTCAGAGCTTCTATACATCAACTGCTGCCTGGGATGTCAGTGCTTCTCCTGTATTCTCATTTTATCCCTTCTTGTCCATCAGCTCTAGCATTTTTTACTGCTCTTCAATCTGTTGTACTTGCATAAACAACAGAGACTACACAAGCATCAACTGAGGGCAAAATCTGGCTGACTGAATTCTGGTTACAGGTGTTAAGAACCCATCTAAAGTCTTCACTGCAGGGTAGGGCTGGTAGGAAAGCATCTTTTACACTTCTCATATAATTTCCTCTGCATGTTATTGAGAGACAGCGAACACTGAGTGACCCAATAACATGTGCAGAGTCTCTATTTGGAGAAGATCTGCTGATTAGGTGTGGTGTGTTAATGAGTAGCAACAAATTGATTATCTATTGTTAACTCTTGTGAACTATGCAGTGACACAAAGATATCTGATAAAAAAAACTGGCAAATCATTCACAGCACACACAATGATTAAAACTGCATTCTGTTGATTGGTAAGCCATTCGCTTAGGATGAGCAGAATGCTTGAAGTCCAATATGTGTTCTCCTTGAAGGGTTATAGCTTCTTACATCACTCAGACTAGCCAGCTGAAAAAAGGGGCTATGACTCTCCAGTGAATTATTACATAAATACAGTGGCAATGCTGTTGGCAGGCAAGGTTTAAACCCTGAAAGTGCCCTGAAATATTTGATGAAAGAGAGAATTTTTTGAACAGTCATCCTGATGATGCAAGAGTGAGAGACAAACCCAGTGATTTCATTAAGACCACGTACATCAGTGCAATTAGGATTTGTCTCAGAGACACAACATCAGTGATTCACAATCACGGTGCCTTGAGATCCTTTCAAGGGTGCCCTGTAATGTTAGTACAGTTAGGTGTGCAAACATGAATCACACAATAAACCCAGGGCTTTCAAGCAGGAATGCATCATGTTAAAAGCATTCTGACCTGTTGTGGTCTTTCTGAATTCCTTGCAACTGAAAAACTGCCATATTATTTTCCTGTAGTCAAAAACCAATTGAAAACTAAGAGCTGGCATTTTTGGAAGCATTCCTCCAATCTGAAAAGGTTGAGAACCATTGCACTGTGTGCAAGACCATATAGGGCAAACCAAGGCAAAGATTAACCTGATGCAAAATGTGCTGATGTTTGTATTGCTTACCATATAGATGGAACGTAAGCGCTTGGACCTTCAGAGTTTGAACATTGCCTGACCACTAGATATTGCTCAGCTGCTTTGCATTTGAGGCCTCTCCAGGGCACATCAAAATCTGTCATGCCTTTAAAACAATAGCATTTTGAATCAGTCGCTGCAAAAATGTCTTCATGGTATTAAATTGAATTGAACAGTCCTGAATTTTGATCTTGCTACACTGATAAAATGCAGAGTTTCAGGCTGTGAATCTTTGATAAGCTGCTTGTAATGTACAGCAAGATCACAACACAGCACTGTGCGCAGCTCACTACTAGCCTGGTGCTGCCTTTTCATGTTCAGTCCTGAATAACCCCTTACTAGACCCCTCTGCATAAATATGTGCTGTCTTCTTAGAAAAACATTACATTCAGAAAGTCAAAATATTTTCCCCCTGCATTAGCCCACTTTGAGCTTGCATTGTTTGCATTTTCAAGCCTTCCTCTAAAAATATAAAGGTTAGAAACCTCTTTTTCAAAAGTATAATAGAAAGCTGTAGTTTCTGCATTATCACTTGCTTCCACGATGTAAAGTTTTAAGAAAAACTCCCAGCTATCATGAGACTTCCAATAAAATCACAAGCTCGCAACACTGAATTGGATACCTCAGAAAATGGAAACTTGCAGAACTAAGGGACATTCTTGATGATTTTGGCTTTAAGTCTCATGTGCAAACTTCAGAGACTTTTTAATGTGTCTCGGTGCCTCTCAGATCTCTTTGGCAGTACAGGGGGAACAAATCTGACACCTAATTTAACTGAATAGACAGTTCAATAAGCTGTGGAATTGGTTTGAAATCATTTTGGATTAAACCACAGGTCGATATTTCTCTATCGCCTGCGGTGCCTAAGATTCTCATGTTTATTGCACGGAGCTCTGCAGAACACATTTGCCTACTTGTTTGAGAGCCCTTGTTTTAAAACATCCACAAAAATCTGTGATTAGAGCATTAACTGGCAGTGTGCTCAACTCTCATTTCTAGAAAGCTCAGAAAGGAAGTGAGGACCCACATACTACAGATCTTCAAGCGTCAGCAACATTTCATGTCTCCACCAGTGACTTGGATCTAGATCTGAATTTTGACGACAGGAGTCATGACTCCTTTGATGACAGGAGTCCCACCTTGAGTTATCTGCCACTCTGAAACCTTGGGCTGTCTGCTGTCCAAGCCAGCTTAATCTCACTCAAAACCCCGTTGTGCTGGCACTTCTTGTCATCTTTGCTGTTTTGAAAAGAGACATTTTATTTGTAATTCTCCTTGATGGTCATTTTAATTCTTTCCTCATTCCAAAGGAGTCAGAGAGGCCTCAGCTTTTATCACGTGGGTGAAAAGAAGACTAGGACCCAGCACCGTGCACATCAACAGCACCGATCAGACTGAAGCAATTATAGAGTCTGAGGAGTTGGCAGTGATTGGCTTTTTTAAGGTAATTCAGTGGGAAAGTCAAAAGCTGATTGGACCAAGGGGCATTGTCTCCAAGGACCAATTTTACAAGGGGCCTAAAGTCAACCTCAGAAACTGGATCTGCAGTTTTCTAGTTTATTTTGCATGCACCATTTACACTTGAACTATAAGGTCCCTTCCAGCTCCTAACAACTATGAAACTATGTGCAACTACTTGGCATTATGCAGGAAGTGTAGATGCATGAATGTGCATGGACCCCAGCTGCTTCAGCCGGAGCTCCTAATGGCACTGATGCAGTTCTTGTACAGCCCAAGCTAGAGCAAAATGTGTTATGTCCTTTGAGAGCACACACCTTACTGCACAACCTGCTGGTTGCTGACTTGTGGAAAGGGAAGTGCAGGAGTCCTACTTCTCCTCAGCCCATCCCTCTTCTTTTTTGCTGATGCAGTATATGTCATTGCTGGTGCTATCTACACAACAGATCTGGTGCTGACTACTTAAGAGATCCTCTTCTAAAGTGCTGTGTTCTTGCGTTTATGAAACAGTAACATGAACAATTAGTGGCTCAGGTTTTGAGGTGCTACTAAAAAGCTGGTGTGCATTTCAGAAAGTCTGTAACCATAATCGATTGCATTGGGATACATTTTTGGTTTTCCTACTGTTGGTTTAAACAATAGCTCCATGACTTTGGAATCTGATTACTGTGAAATTTGCACTAGCTACAGATTTAGCTTGTACCATATGAGAAAACTGCTACTGTTATTTAAGTTGCCCAGGAGACAGAACAGCTCCCCCCCATCACCTGGAGCCCAGGTTTGACACCAGTGCCACCTGCCAGCCTGAGGTTGGCACCTAGGGGAGCCTAGAGACCCCCCTGGCTGCTGTATGCTAACAGAGCAGGGCAAGCCTGAACTGTTCCTCTCAGGAGCAAAATCGCTGCTAATATGTGCACATGTAGGCATGCACTCAAAGAAACTTTACTGCGCAGTAAGCTTTCTGAGCATTAATTGCACATGTAGATGTGCCCACTGTGTAGGGACAAATCCTGCAGTCTTCACTCAGGTGAACTCCCTGTGGTTGCTAGGACTGATTGTGAACTGCAGGATTTGGTACTAATATATTTAAGTAGTAGGCACCATTGCAAAGTAAATGTTTAGTGTGGGATAGCACGTTGTCCAATAGTACAGAATCTCCTTCCTTTGTAATGGTAAAGGCCAATCACATTGGCCTTAAATCACAGAGCCAATATTCCTATTTTTTCTAAGCAGCTCCTTATTCTAAGGTGTCTGTCCTGAATTCCCCTATCACTGGGCCAGCTGAGCACATTTTCGATCTTATGATGTCTAAAATGTTATTACTATAATGTGCTATAACCCAGAGCCTAACTTTTATCAATGGGGCCATTTGCTGTCCAATAACATGTTGCTGCCACAGTGGCAGAGGCAGGGTACACATTAAAGGTAATGGGCCAGAATGTGAAAATGATCACCCTGAATTGAATTTTGTTCCAAGTAGCCCTCTTGAAATCATTTGTGAAGGAAGGCACTGCTTGGTGCAGCAAAAGGCTCATAATCTGGCCCAGTTTATTAGTGTAACTGGAGTGTCTTGAACTGAGCTGATAGCAGTTAGTGCCTGCAGACTTGTTAGACTGGGATTTGTGAATGCATTTGGAGACTGAAATGACTACAGATGATCATCAGCATGAGTTAGGACATGTCAGAAATATAGCATGTGGAAGCCAATAAAACACTGTCTAAATAAATAAAGAGCTGGATTTGGCCTTCTATTAGTCACAGATTGCTTACTGAATGTGACTGCCAGAATGTGTCAGGAGGTCTCAGCATATAAATTACTATTCATTTAACATAAAATACTAGTCTGATTAAATCAAAGTCTCAAGAGCTGTTGCCTTTCATTATGGTTATTTCCTGTTAATTTGGGGTCGACAGCATACTGAGTATCTGACAGACTTAAGAGAGGACAAGGCCCCTGCCTTGAAGAACTTCCAACTGAAGTCTCACACAGGCCAGTGATTCTCAACCAGGGTACTGTGTCACCCTGGGGTGCCTTGAGATCCTTTCAAGGATGCTTCAGGGTGCCATGCAATGTTAGCACTGTTAGGTGTGCAAACAAGATTCACAAAATACACCCAGAGATTTTGAATAGGAATCCATAGTGTTAGAAGCATTCTGACCTGCTGTGCAGGTCTTTTGCAACAGAAGAATTGCTCTATTATTTTTCAGTAGCCAGCGGAGGGGGCATTTTCTGAGGAGAGCCTTGAGTCTGCAAAAGATGAGACCCACCAACATATGTGAAACAATTCAGAAACATCATGGGGTGCAACCTCCCTCAAACAGAGATCCTTCCTCTCTCATCCACTGCAAAGAAGAGACCCTTTATATCATTAGTCAGTAGGGGTGTGCAAAGCAGCCCCTATTCGATTTGGATTTGGCCCCGAATCAGAGACAGTGATTCGATTAGTTGATTTGGATCACTGTCCCTGTCCCTGATTCAATTCGGCCGAATCCAAATCTGAAGATTCGATGCTGATTCGGACACAGACACAGCTTTAAACATTTTTTCTACATACCTTGAGGTAGCAGGTGTGGCTCGTGATTGCCGTGATGCTGGGGAGCATGGAGCATCCCACTGGAGTGCGGGGGCCCTCCATGTGCTTGGCAGCAAACCTGGAAGTGGATCAGAAGTACTTCCAATCCACTTCGGGTCTGCAGGAGAGCATGCTGCCCCCCCCCCCCCCCCCCCCCC